ATGGATCTAAAATCAAAAAGGAGAAAGGTGATCTAAAATGTGAATGATTGTTAGTGTGGAAGAGAACAAAAATTGTCGTGCAATGCGCGCAAGGAATGTTGTTTAGTCATGTCAATATATTCCCTCAATTCCTTTTGTCACTAAACATGGCAGGGACTACTCATCATATGCAATTCTTCTAGATTTAATAATATATATAAAAGACCCCACATATATATCCTCTATCTATAATTTGGCATGTCTTCTACTTTTCTCACTTGCAGCCGTTAATTCTAATTCTTTATCCATTTTTTTAATACAAATAACTTTAGGTTTATATTAACCGAAATCTTCGTGAAATCAAATCTTTAACCCATTTTAAAAGTTGTTTTTCTATCCTCGTTCTTTTTTCTTCAAACTACTCTTATGAAAAGAACAATAACGTCAACGATTCAAAATAAAATTAACGAGTAAAGAAGATAAGTCCTAATTTTATTCATTGGAGAATAAAATTAAGCATATAATTGTTGTTAATGACTTGAATATGCTAATCAATGCGGATTTTATTTAATTTACTCAAAATTCTTTATGTAAAATAAAATTAATAGAATAATAAAATTAATCTATTTAAAAAAAAAGTAAAAAATTGTAAATCTACCATTTTATAAATTTCAATTTTTGAAAAATTAAACAAATTCCGTTCAATGAAGTCGTTGGAGTACTAACTTTGGATTTAACGGTTAATAATATTTTTCTTCTTATAATAAAGTTTAGCATATTCAAGTCATTAGTACCAATATTATGCTTCATTTTATCCTCTGTTGAATAAAATTATGACTTATATTTTCTTTCCTCGTGAATTTTAATTTAAATCTTTGAGGTTAAGGTTTGTTCGCATAAGGTTAATTTGAAGAAAAAATAGCGGAGAGAGAGAAACAACATAAAAAGTTGCTAAAGGATTTAATTTCTCGAGGCATGAATTCCGTCAATATAAACCTAAGATATTTGTATTTAAACAAAATGGACAAAGACCAAATTAACTTGATAAGTTTTTGAATACTTAAAGGACTGAAATCGGTTAGTGTATAGTTAAGGGACTAAAACCGGTAAGTGTATAGTTAAGGGACCAAATCTGATAAGTTTTATACTAGTTAAAGGACTAAATCCATTAAGTGTATAGTTAAGAAACCATTTTAGACCTACTATTATAGTTAAGGGACTATTTATGTCATTTTCTCTTAATTAATGTATCTTCTTTAGTGTCATTTTCTCTTAATTAATGTATCTTCTTTAGTGTATGTTCTTCATCACTAAATAAATATGCAAAGCATCCAAAAAGTAACAGCCTTTCGTAAGTAATATGTTGGGCATGGGCCATGCCCATCTAATTTCTAAAAAGTAGAAGTTGCAGCCCCATTGGAGATTGTTGGGTTGAATTCACCAAGTGGATATATTGATTTTGAGTCATTTAGAGTTGTTTTGGATCAATTTTGAAGTAAGATTTGTGGGAAATCTTACGAAAAAATACCTTCTTGATGAACACTTGTAGGAATTTTCATATCTTAGCTTGAGGCGTATCTAATTAGACATTATCCTGAAGGATATTTCACCCGGTATAGGTGTATGATGTATTCCTCAGCATTCAACAAACTCTTCTAGTATAAACTAGGAGACATAAACTAACAAAGATTCAATCAAAATGAAAACACAACACTAACTCAATATATTTATGAAAGAAGAATGTATATATCTATTATCTTATTCACTCTGATGAGAGGACTTCTAGACTATGTATGTCTTCTCCTTCTCTTGATCAGAATGACATAAGGAAAATACCATATATATAACCAGAAAACAACCGTCACAATCATAATTTTATCATTATAACCATTCAAACAATTAAAGGAATAGTGCCTAATTAAGGCTAATGAAAGGATGTGTTATAATTGGTAATAATGATTATTAATCATATATAGTAAGGAGTAAAGTAATATATGGCAGTGATGGATTGTTGCCATTAAGATTTAAGATTATTCATAATCATATCAAATATCACAACTATAAATTTAAATATTAAAAATAATAATTCATTTTGAAATACTTAAAATTATTTCCTCCCAACAGTTCCCTACATATCTCAAAAAGGAATATTAAAAATAAAATTAAATAAGAGGTTTGTTGGGTTTTTTACATATGAGTACAATACATTGAATCTGTTTTCCATAGACTATGAACCAGATCAAGATAAAACAAGATATAAGCTTACAAAATTTTGGTGAAGTTTTTAACTTCTATGTTCCAAAAACTCTTTTGTAAGCTCAAAGTTTTATTATATCACATCATACTCGTACAATATCTGTCGTTTGAGTTTGGATTCCATGAGAGGATCAAGTATGTGTTCATAGTTCTATGAGTGAACCTGACTTTCTTCTTCATAATATAATCGTTGCATGTTGGATCCTTGAGCAGTCCGAATTATTTGAAAGATGAGTTGACCTCAGGTATAGCTTACATGTGATCATGTGGGACATGGTTCATGTTACATTAAGTCAGGGTAAAGACTAAGAGTCTGGGCTATGTATTACTTGTGATGGTTGAGGAATTGTTATTTGTTGTTTACAACTCAATTCTTACGGGTTTATTTCCGCATAGTTGTTACAAATATTGGATTGAGTTTATGAAAGCTCAATCTTTCTAAACTGTGTTTCCCATTTATCCCGATGAACTTGATTTTATAAATGGTGTTGGGTTTAGTTTTGATATGGATGAGTTGATCTAAAACGCTAGTTTCATTTACCGTTCTAAAAAGACCAGGGGGTTGACATGAGAATTTGAGAAAGAATAGCAGGTCGGTTGATAGGGCTAGTGATGACCTAATATTTGTGAATATTAATGTGGTAGAAGAGTTAGACTATGATTCAATACTATGATAGTCTTGTATTCGTGAATATTATAATGTGGAAGAAGGGCTAGGCTATGATTTGACATTATGATGACGTAACATAGAGGTATGAGGTCAAGGTGCATTAGTTGTGAAATTTACCCGGAGAGGGTGAGAGTATGTGGATAGAGACTTGGGGTGGCATAAACTCCTTATTGCATGTTTTCTTCTGATTATCTATATTATATTTCGTGGTAGGTTCGATCGACCGATGATGCCTACCCGTACGTGTTGTTTGTACTGATACTACTCTTGCTATGTCACTTGGTATAGTTTGGTTGTAGGATAAGTGATGTTTCATAAATAAATATGATGACTTTCTCCCACAGCTTTCATTTTTCCTTCCTCATGATGGGAGTTGTGTCTTATTTTATTATATAAATTGTACTCCTTTAGTAGCTTTTGTACCTATTTAGACTAATCCACTGAGGAGGATTTTTCGGTCATTTGTAAAAGGTTTCCATTAAAGTTGATGTCTTCATAAATCTTTAAGGTGTTAATTTTTTTTTTTGCAGTATTTGTTAATTTTCGCATTGTCCGTTTTGAATTGGGTGGTAAGGATTCTCCTATCTAGGTGTTAGGTTGTAACAATTTTTCTAAGATCTTGAAACATAGTAGCACACAATTAAGCAAAATTTTCTACTTCATTATAACATACTTCGCTTGGTGTTTTGCTTTCCCTAGATGCATGTAATTAATGCCATCACATCATTTAACTCTTTGAAACATTTTCTGTATTAATATAGCGAAAAACTATCGAATTAGATATACATTCATACCATATCAACTAGTCCAATTTATACTTTCAAATAATTATCTATTATCCCACTTTTTAACAATTATGTATCGGATTTGGAGTTAAACACATTGAGATACATCACTCCTTAAAATTTAGCCTAAAATAGAACCCTTATTTATTTAACCACTTAATTCTCTCCATAATTCACACCTTCACTCTAAATTAGACCCACACTCTCTCCTTATTCTCCTCTCCCACATTCGATTCTCTCTTCTTTTTTTTTATTTCCACCCGGTGTCCGGTACCCACATTGAAGCCTGATTAAATCCGGATTCCCACCGAAAATTCTTTCACACCATTCTTCTTCGATTTATTCATCAAAAACCAAATGTAAAAATGGAATAGAGAGTGGCCTGCCACTGTGTATCCCATACACGTTCTTCTGATCGTGTATCTAAGAGGGACTTGCGATAGTTAGTTGTAGGTTGTTCATTGATCTATTGATTTTCCTATGAATAGGCTATATAACTCAACATATATATAAATTAAATTTGTTATGTATATGTGATGTATTTATCATGTATCTGCGATATATTATATCTGTTGTATAATTAGGTATGTATTTGAGTTGCACATGGTATATCTGATTTCATCTAGACTAATGTGCATCTATTGATTCTTTCATGCATGTGTTATTTTTCTTGCAAATGTATATGAACTCATGTAACTACTCGCAACTTATTTTCAATAATGTCTATTTTATTTTTTTCATATTCTAGCATATGAATGTCATTGTGTATCCCAGATAGCTCAAAATTCAAATTAATAGAAATAACAATTGGAAATGAAATTCAAGATGAAATACGTAAAAAGATTTTGATTCTCGAAAAAAAAAGGAATGAATTTCAAATTTCTTTTGGATTAATGATACATTGTATGTGGACGCGCTAGATACATATACTAAAGTTCAAAATATGATAATAATTAGGGAAAAAAGACAAATATACCCCCGAACTATCGTAAATGGTATGCAGATAACCTTCGTCAGACTTTTAGTACATTGGTATCCCTACCGTCCAAAAACTAGATCATATATGCCCTTCACTCTAACGGAAGACTAAATAGGGACACATGACACAATCTTATCCGTCGATCTGATATTTAGTAAATGTCAAGTCGGTGGATAAAATTATGACACGTGTATGTCCGTTAGTATAAAGAGGGTATATTTATTCTTTTTCCCTAATAATTATAATATAGAAAATTCACAGAAAGACATGTAATTTTTTTATTTTTTTTTAACGAATAGCCTAGTTGAAAAGTGCAGATATCCATAAGAAGAAAATAGAGATACCTAGCAAAAACCTCCAATATCGTATTTTAACAAAAACCAGTAACATAAAAATCTCTTGACGAAAAAAATCAAAATCCATTCGATTTGGGAGTTGCTTCCGAAATGGCTCCGAAGCCGAAAGAGAAAGCAAAGGCATCTGCAGTAGCAATCCCTGCTATATCAATTGAAGATCTCTTCACTTCGCTTAATCGCCACATTCAACGATCCGAGTATGAGCAAGCCGTCAAAGTTTCTGATCAAAGTAAGTTTCTGTTCGAGTTATAATTTCATCAATCTGTAATAATCCAATGTATCCATCCTAAAAAAGGCATTTGATGATTTTTATTTGAAGTTCTTGCGGCTGCGCCTGGAGATGAGGACGCGATACGGTGTAAAGTGGTGGCGTTAGTGAAATCAGATTCTATAGAAGAAGCATTGGTTGCTATTAAAGACTGTAGCAAAAAGGGTTCTGTTGATCTTAGCTTCTTTAAGGTAATAATGCATGTTTGCACTATATATATAGCTTAATTTAAAGGTGACTTGAAAATAGGCATTATGAACCCATATATATCTAGGGATTTTGGTTTTGCTTTGACATTGAAATTGGAAAATTGTGCAAACGGCGAGTTTGGTATGACAGAAATTTTTCCACGGTGTTGATACTGACTTCTCTATTATGGGCAGAAGTCATTGTACATTACAACATACTCTAACTCTCTCCATGTCACTTGCCCAACCAATACTTAAAGAAACGCCTTTGAAACTTGTAGTCTAAAACAAGCTATATATATTAAAGGTAAAAGTAGGAATTCAAAGTTATTATTCGAAATATAGAAAAATGTGTTCTTTTTGGGACATACTAAAAGGGAAAGAGTATCACATAGTTTGAGACGGAGAGAGTATACATCTTTAGTACTCAAAATCACCAAAGCACTGTTCTAATTTTTTGGTGAAGTAAATAAATTGTATTAAAGAGGTGTCAAGAGGATGCAGAGTTACAAAGCATCTAACTGTTAGCTTCAGGGCAAAACTATATGAAGCTAAAACTAAGCAAAAATCTGTACAAACAGTCAAAATATAACCCTAACACCACTGCTAAGTCAGGTTCAAGGAGCTAATAAAATCCATAAATCTGTCGACACTGTTTACAAGGAAGTGAAAATGCCAACTAAACATACTAACTAGACATCTAGCCTTTAGAGTACTTGTAGGAGCTCCATCAAAGCGTCTGCTATTCCTTTCCTTCCAAATACACCAAAAATTTGCTGCTGGGATCATTCTCGAGATCCTTTGGATGGTTTCATCAACTCTCCAGAGTATCCAACTTCCATAGGCAACTTTGATGGAGTGGGGCATGACCTATTGGAGGCCAAACATAGAGAAAAATAGATGCCACATGTCATCTGTTCCTGAGCAATGCAGAAAGAGGTGGCTGACAGATTCGTTATTCTGCTTGCAAAAGAAGCATCTGTTGACAATGATGATACCTCTCTTTCTAAGATTGTCTTGTGTCGGGCATTTGCTATGGAGTGCTGTCCAGGTGAAGCAACTAACTTTAAAGGGCTGTCTAGTCATCCAAACATAGTTTATTGGGTAAGTATTGTTTTTGAGCATATTGGTATGTAGACCAGACATACACTCAAAAACCATTAGAGTGATGTTGAGATTGTGGACTGTCTGCTCCACAAAAAATCAAAGTATCATCTACATAGAGCAAATAAGAAACAATGATAGTGGTGGAGGGATTCCTTCCAACCTGGGACCCTTGAATCCATTGGAGTTCTTTGCCAGCATTTGAGTGAGCCCACCTTCCATTGCCAGAATAAACAAAAAAGGGGGAGAGAGGGTCTTCCTGCCTGCGACCCTTTTGAGGAGAAAAAAATCCCCACAGGGCTTCTATTAACCAGAACAGAGAATTTTACAGTTGAAATACAAAAATATATCCACCTTATGCATCTATTTCCAAACACCATCTTCTTCAATGTATCAATTAAATAAGGCCAATTTAATCGGTCAAAGGCCCTTTCTATGTCCAGCTTGCATAGAAGGCCAGTATCCCCAGTTTTGAGCTTCCAATCAAGAACCTCATTGGCAATCATGGAGGCATCAATGATTTGCCAATTTTCACGAAAGCACTTTGCTGTCCAGAAATCAATTTGGCCTAATCATCCCAGCCCCCAAGTCATTTTCATTTTCCTCTCTGTATCCTTTGTATTTGGTCTCAAACTCAGAGTGTGGTAATCCAGTGTAGTGGCAAGTAGCTTTTATTTGTTGCTATAAGTTTTTGTTTGTAATCTCACTTGATTAATATTATTTTGTCTTACATGATTTAGCAGACTGAGGATAACCATTAGGTATTTACGTCTGGAAAATATGAGTTATATATTATGCCGGGAAATGTATTTGCATACTTTGTTCTTGTTTAACCATATAAGATCAAACCTCTCCAAGGGTTGCAAGGCCATAACGAGTAGCTGGTGGGTTGTTTGATTATCCTTTGTTTGCTAACTAATTTGTTTTTCTATTTCCCCACTTTGTCTTTTTGTTTTATTTTCGTGTATGATTAATAACCGAACCAAAATCGATAACAACCAAACCGATAAAGGTATATATTTGTTTTGGTTTGGTTTTAATAACTTTATAAACTGATTAAATTGTTTTGGTTTTGGTTTTGATACATAACCGACCCAAACCGTCCCGTGAACACCACTAGGCACAGAACTGAAGGGCAGCTAAGTGCAGTGAGGGTCTCCATGATTCTGTCTCTTTGTACAGTTTCTGGTAGTAATCCAGAATGCCTTCCTTGATCAACCCCTTGTCATCAGTTATGCACTCCCTTATTTTCAAATGATAAACGGTATTGCCTCTTTTGTGTGAGTTAGCCATTCTCTGAAAGAATTTTGTGTTCTTATTTCTTATCACCCTCCTTCAACCATAGGCATCTAGATTTTTGTCTCCAGCATACTTCTTCTGCAATTTCTATCTGCTTCAATTCTAATTTCAGGCTTAGTGACCTCAGTTTCTGATCGGGGTGTGAGTTCTATGTTCAGCAATCTGCTCTAAGTCTCTCCTGCTCTACCAAATCCTTGCTCCTTTGAGCTTCAATTTTGCCAAAACCCTCTCAGTTCCATCTAGTAATGTCCTTCATGTTCCTTAGCTTTTGTGTGAACATAAAAACTGGGGTGCCCATAACTGTATAAGAGTTCCACCAATCTTTCACCATATCTGTGAAACCATCAGATTGTAACCACATGTCTCGAATTTAAAATATGAGGGTGATGATACTCAATCCCCACTTTCCAGAATAATTGGCTTATGATCTGAGAACACCATGGGCTTGGTATGTTACTTAATGGCTTTGAACATTTCACTCCATTCAGGGAAGATTAAAAATCTGTCAATTCTTGAGGCTTGGGAAAGCTCCTCCACTCTTGATCAGGTGTACTGTGCTCCTGTAGTAGAGGGTCAATCAACTCCGATTCTAGGATGATGTTTGAGAAACCCCTCATTGCATGTTGTTATCAATCCTTGAGAGAAGAGAAGAGGAGAAAGAGAAGAAGGTACAATGTATGTTGTTAAGCTAATTTGGATACTCTTACCAAAGGTCGATTTCCCAGGATGTTAGAGGCAGCGATATTTTCATCTGATAGTCACATATTGTATACCTGAATGATATGATTACAACTGAAACATCCTTACGGCTTCCTCCGAAGGGCAATTCCAACTAAGAAGTAAGAAGTATAATAGGAAATATACGAGCAGTCATCAGTCCCTGATCTTGTCTACAGGAGATAGTTAACCATTTTGTAAGCTTCTTTTCAGTGCGAAGTTAGCTTGTATTGTTCCAGCACCCGTCTTTATGCAAATTATTTACATATATTTGCCTTATTTTACTGTGTACCTCCTCTACTTGATGAAAAAAAAAAATGAGTTCCTTTCTCTTCAGTTCTGGATTTTGTTTCTCTCATTAACATTTTTCCTTTTTCATTGTCATGCTTTCTTTGAAAAGGCATATTGCTTGTATCGGCAAAATAAATTGGAGGAGGCTTTAGAGTCCTTGAAGGGGCAAGAAGGAAGTACTGAGTCAATGCTGTTGGAATCTCAGATTTTGTATCGATTAGGAAAGATGGGTACATCTGTCGATATTTATCAAAAGCTCCCAAAGTCTACGATAGATTCCTTGGAGATAAATCTTGTTGCTGGTCTGGTTTCTGCTGGAAGGTCTTCTGAAGTGCAGGGAACCTTGGATTCACTGAGAGTTAAAGCAACTAGCAGTTTTGAATTGGCTTACAACACTGCCTGCTCTTTAATTGAAAGGGAGAAGTACAAAGATGCCGAACAACTGTTATTGTCAGCTCGAAGGCAAGTTTGCTCTATTAAGCTCTTCATAACACCATGAAAGAATTAGATTCAGTTAGTCCTGACTTGTTTTATTTGTATGACTTTTATCCATTTTCTTAACAGTTGATGATGCACAATCTATGACTAGTAAAAAAGCATCAGATATTTCCTTGCTTGGAAGTTATTGAGGGTTTAAGTTGGCATCAAGATGTACTTGCTTTAGCTATTGATATATTCTTGTCTCTATGAACTTAAGGAGAATCTTAACCATCTTTTATTTTCTTATTTGGGTTTAACTTTTTGTTGGCTTGTTAACCATTTAATAATGATAGACTGACAATTTAGAACTAGTCTAATTGAAAAGATGTGCCATTGCAGTCAAAAGTGCTTGTATGTTGGGGGTTAAAATGTCTGCAAAGCTTCTATATCTACTTATTTGGCTTATGTAAATGGAGTTTACAGTTCTTTATACAAGAAAGAAAGTTTCTTTAGCTATTCCAATTTTCAGGATCATGCAAATGATGCTTCTGTATCTTTGTTTGGTTATAATTGTTACTTGCCTTTTCTATCAAATCTTAATGTCTTCTCTTTTGGTTCTCTTTTTTTTTTTTTTTGGGGGGGGGGGGGGGGGATTTTTTTTTTTGGGGGGGTGGGGTGGGGATAGAGGGGGCATGTTATATGACGCTGTAAATCATTAGTTGTGTATATTGTAGGATGATTTCCTCTTTAGATCTTGTACACAGTTGAATGCAGTTTATTATTTGCTGTCAGAGATGTAGGACAAACTGGAATATCTATTTATGAGATGTCACAAGGGACAAACTGCATTCTGGTCTATTCATTTGGAACAATCATAAAATGAAATTTTCTCTTCCTTCGTCTTTTTAAAGTTTATGTACTTTTAGAAGTCTCAAATCAAATGGGGTAAAATCTTCCACTTTAGAATTCTCTGTGAAACTTCCAGTTTTTGCATGAATGAAATGAGAATATAAAAGAAAGACGAATATCTTATTGTGGACATTGGAATTACAGAATTGGTCAGGAAGCACTTATGGAAGAGAATTTAGCTGATGATGATGTTGAAATTGAATTGGCACCTATAGCTGTTCAAATTGCATATGTACAACAGGTAAATTATCTTATGACATGAGTTTGACTAGCCTTCTTTTGCTTTGATAAGTTGCAATTATGCAAGTTTTTTTGTTTCTCTCCAGATTCTAGGGAACACCCAAGAGGCTGTTGCATCGTATACTGATCTTGTCAAAAGAAATTTGGCTGACGAGTCTTCACTTGCAGTGGCAGTAAATAATCTCATTGCTTTAAAGGGTCCTAAAGATGTCTCTGATGGCCTAAGGAAACTTGATAAGCTAATAGAGAAAAGTGATGGACCAGAGAAGTTCCAGCTTGCACGTGGACTAGACTTGAAGCTCTCACAGAAGCAAAGGGAAGCAATATATACCAATAGGGTGCTGCTGCTACTTCATTCTAATAAGATGGATCAGGTATATTATCTGAGATTTACATTGTTTGCAATGGTTCTCCTTTTAACATTTGATGCATTAGAAACAAGGTGAACCATGATAGACATCCAACTGCTACTGTTTATTCCCGGAGTCTTTTTCCACCGTTTATTTTTGTCATTGGATTGTTACAGGCTAGAGAACTTGTTAGTGCTCTACCTGGGATGTTCCCTGGTAGCTTGATGCCTGTACTTCTTCAAGCTGCTGTACATGTGAGAGAGAACAAGGCTGCTAAAGCTGAAGAAATACTTGGACAGTATGCAGATAAGTTTCCTGACAGGTCCAAGGTTATCCTGCTTGCAAGGGCTCAGGTTGCTGCAGCTGCTGGCCATCCACAGATAGCAGCCGATTCCTTAGAGAAAATACCTGACATTCAACACAAGCCTGCAACTGTTGCGACCATTGTTTCTCTCAAGGAACGGGCTGGTGATACTGATGGTGCTGATGCTGTGTTTGATTCCGCAATCAAGTGGTGGTCAAATGCCATGACTGAAGACAATAAGCTCAATACCATCAATGCAGGAGGCTGCTGCTTTCAAGCTCAGGCATGGAAGGAAAGAGGAGGCAGCACGCCTTTATGAGCAGCTAGTGAAAAGCCATGGAAGTATTGAGGCTTTAGTTGGATTAATCCAGACTGCAGCCCATGGTGACATTTGAGAAAGCAGAAGCTTATGAGAAGCAGTTAAAACCACTACCTGGTTTGAAAGCAATAGATGTCGACAGTTTGGAGAAAACTTCTGGTGCCAAGCATGCCGAGAAAGGCCCGAATGCTGGTGTCACTGAAACATATGAAGCGAAGAGTAAGGATAAGGCAAAGAAAAAGAGGAAGAGAAAGCCAAAATATCCAAAGGGCTTTGACCCGGCTAATCCAGGACCTCCACCTAATCCAGAGAGGTGGCTTCCCAAGAGGGAGAGGTCTAGTTACAGACCAAAGAGAAAGGATAAGAGAGCAGCTCAAATTAGAGGTTCTCAAGGTGCAGTGGCTAAAGAGGCAGCGAGCAATAGCGATACAAAATCAAACCAGCCAGCTAATCCAAAAGGAGGCACTCAGAATGCAAGCACTGTGCAATCAAAGGCTTCATCCAAATCTTCCAGGAAGAAATCAAGGAAGTAATCCAACAACAGATAACCAATGTTTCTTTGTTATTGTTTCGGTGGATTCTTTTTGCCTGATTCGTTTCGCATGTTTGTTGTACAACACGAGTTAGTCTCGGAGATGTCCATTTATCTATTGGTAACTTTTTGTACTTTTTCATACATAAGGTTGTAGGGGAGGGGCATTGTTGCTTGCATCTGAAGTTAACCTACCTTAATCAGATTTGGAAAGGTCTCATTTACTTGGTTCTGTTAGGTCTAAAATATTTAGGATTGTGGCATCAATGGATGGATGAGCTATTTTGTTGCTTCTTTCTCTCCCTTTATGCTCTGTTCTGGAAGCAATTGTTTCGTACCATGGTAGTGTTATTTTAGGATAAGGTTTAAGTAGCCCCTAGACTATAACCGAAATCCCAAAGACACACCTTAACTAAACTAAGATCCTATTACCCCCGGAACCCATTTTTTTTGTAATTTTGTGCACTTTTTTTGCTTACGTGGCATCCAAATATCTCCATGCGCCTCAATTGCGTGGAGTCATGGAGTATGCCACATAAGTCAAAAGGTGTATAAAATTACAAAAAAAAAAATAGAGTTCCCGGGGGTAATATGACCTTAGTTTAATTAATGTGTGTCTCTGGGATTTCGATCATAATCTAAGGGTACTTGTGCCTTATCCCTTATTTTTATGTCTCTTACTTCTTGCAGTCTAATCTGCTGGGGATGTGTATTGTTCCCTATGTGGAAGGAAGTCCATTTAACTAGAGAACATTAGCCTTCTATTTCCACACTTGGTACAATTAGGGGCGTTTGGTTACGGTATAAGTTGCATTTTATTCATGTATAAATAGTTGCATTAGTTTTACTATGTTTGGTAGAAGTTTGTATTAAGTGGAAAAGTCAATATGAACTTATATCATGTTTGGTTGGTAGGATTCCAAATATTGTATAAAAGTTATTCATGTATTAATTTTATAAGGGGTTTGATTGTGTTTTCTGTAGTGCTACATAATTAATACCAACATAACTTATGAGGGAATCTATGTATAAGTTATATAGGGTAGAAAGTGAAATAAGTTATGCAGATATTAATTTTATATATATATATATTAAAATAGTAAATTACACATTTACCCCTATTCATTTACTTTAAATTTTTTTATTGAAAACTTTACCTAACTATACTATTTTCCTAACCTTTTTTTTTAATTCACGAGCAACTTTTCTTTTTCCTGTTTTCATTTGGAATCCAAATGTAATATTTTATTAATATTACAAATTGAATGCTATATGCTTTGCTGGCACATATGTTAATCAAATATTAAGGTTATATATTATTAAATATATTCCACTTATTTAATTAACATGTATTATTATTTTGTTTAGGATGTGAATTTATACATAATTTCTATATTTGGTATATTAAAAAGTATAAATTATAGGAACCACATATTATAAGTACTAAATAACATTCTATCCCTTCTAGTTTTCTATTTACCAAATATCCCTTAAAAATGATGTTTGCGGGATACATAGCGTTGTGCACGGGATACATAGGTAAAATAAGGGATTTTTGAATTTTTTGAAATAAGTAGGGATAAATGAATATTAAGGTAAGTAAAAGAGTGTAGTTAAGTAATTTGTCCTATTAAAAATGTATAAACAATATATACTACATATTAATAGAATATTTACATTATATAAAATAGGATATTATAATGTACTTGAAATATATTAATTATATTCTATTTGTATAAGTTATAAACATAAAAAAACAACAAAAAGAAAAAATAGCGGTCCCAATTAAGTATAGAGGGAGAATTTGCATAACTGAACCATGCATAACTAAACCCTGCATAACTAATAACTGCATAACTAATACCTGCATAACTAAACCCTGCATAATTAATACCTGCATAACTCTAACCAATAACCAAACGGCCCCTTAGTTCTGTGAACTTGAAATTTTTTGAAAAAGTAATATTTTACTTTTGTAGAAGGAATAAATATCTTATATTAATAAGACAAAAAATTCTTGGTGATTGTTGCAACTAGCCAGGAACAATAGATAGTAACAAAAATAGAAGTCGAAGGAACAAGAATCTACAAGAGTGACTATGTCTACTAGTATGGAAGAATAAGTGAGATTGTACTAGACCATCTACTAACCTTTTACCTTAATTCGTGTTCTCAATAGTCTTTTAAGGTCATGTCATTGGTAAACTAAAGTTGCACCATGTTTTTTCTAATCATTTTTCTTCAATATTTCTTCAATATATCTTTATTTCAATTGAAATTATTTCTAGCCACTCTCACACCTCTGTGTTGAGATAATTATGCCTTTCCTCTTCACTAGGGTTGTTCAAAATCGAATCATAACTGATAAGCCAATCGCAAAATTAATTTATTGACTTATTGGTATTGTAATATCGAATTAATGATTGGTCAATAGATTAAAATTTTATAGTTAATGGTTTATTGATGAGGGGACGGATTACTTAATTTCCTTATTGGGTAAACTGTTAACCTGTTAAGAATCATCGTAGTTACATTTTTACCATAAGTATATTTATTAAGCAAATATTAAAGTGCTTGCACCCTCAAAATTTAGAGTTTTATATGTGTCTCACTGTGATTTACAATTACTGAATTACCAGCTTAAGTAGGGCTACAAAAAATATTTTGTTTGATGAGAGATCAATCTAAATTGTGAGTGAAAGTGAAAGAAGGGAGCATGAAATATTGAAACCAATACACCGCCCGATAACCATCCGTTAATTCCTAATCCGATACCAAACCAACCGATAGCTTAATGGTTGGCTAGCAGATTTGTATATTTAAAATTCGATATCTGATAAGCCAAACGCTTAAGCATAATTATCCATCCGATTTGTCCAATAAACAACCTTGCTCTTCACATGTTGTCCTCCATTAGATGTTTTTGTATCACCTAAAATTTTCATCAAGGCTAAATTTAAGTAACGGCAAGTTTCCTTTAGTTGGATATCATGATAAAGAGACTTTCCTCTCCATTATTTTTAAAGCAACAGTTTTCATACTTGGGGTTCATTTGGACATAATTGAACTTTGAAGTCCGATTTGAAATTAGATTGATTTAAAGCTAAAATTTTGTTTGAACATACAATTTGAAAATTTTAAATTGTATTTTTTTTTTATAAACATAAATCCTTCATAATTTGTGAAAACTATCTCAATTTCTCCTCTTATACAATATTCTAATGTGTTGAATTAATAAATCACACGTCTCTATATTCCTTTTATAAATAAATATTTGCAAGTACATATTATTTCAAATTTTCAGATACGCATAATTTTACAAAGATTCATTGGTCCAATAAATCAACATTATCAATATTAACTATTCTTTGATAAAATATTCCTTCATGGTGTAGACAATCTCTTCACATGGAGTATAAGTTTTTTTTTTTTTTTTTGTAAAATATAAGCTTATGAATCAAGTTTTTTATTTAAAAAGTTTTGTAATCACATTAAAATATTAAATCCTATTTTTTTTGAAGTATTTGAAATTATAGTTTTATAAACAAATGCTCATCTAAAATCAAACTTGAAATTAGATTTTCAAATTTTATGGCCAAACTTTCCTGGTATGAATCCTTGCCTTATAGGCGCTGTGCCTTGCAAAAACTCTTCTTTCATCTTATTTCATTTTATATGACAAGGTTATTATTAAAGATTCAAACAATTTTTCTTCATGACTTCTTCAATTATATTCCTAATTTATTTTAATTTTAAAAACCAACTAATTTGGAGTATTCGTAAGTTTCTAATGTTACCAAAGAATTTAAAATATTTATGTCTAGTAATATGCTTTGAATTAATTAAATAATTGACATTGTACTTCAAAATTTTCTCCTCGAAACATGAGAACAATTATTAAGAGAAAATGACAGAAATGATCCTTTGAGGGTACGGAATAATTTTTATTAGGTAAGGTTTTAAATTTTTTTCTATCACCTTTCATTCTTATCAAATATTTAACAATTTATGCTTATTAAATTTGATAGAAATAATGAAAAAAAAGGATTTATTTTTAAATATCAAGAAAGTCTTATTAAAAAAATGCAACATAGAGTTGCACTATAAAACAAAACAATATAAAAAGTTGCAAAAATCACAACTAAAAAAAATACACTAAATTTTGAAATAAATGAAAAATAACACAAAATATGAAAATTGACCTCTAAATTTGAGTTACGCTAATCCCCATAGTTACATCAAATCTATTTTTTTTTTTTTTTTTATGAATATTTGACGAAAATTAAAAATATTAACTTTTGACAAACTTTAACGCCTACTCGAACACTCACTATGTTAACTAGTGGGGTTAATATAGCAAAAATGGGTTAATTTAGCGGGTAATTACAATCCGACCCGACCCGACCCGACTTCGGATAAATTCAGAAACAGTGTGTTTTGTTTCTCTATGGGGGGTGAAAATGGCGGCATCATTCAGATGGGTGTTACAGCTACACAAGGACGTACCAAAAGCAGCAAGATTCTATTCAGAGGGCTTGGATTTCACCATTAATGTCTGTACCCATAGATGGGCTGAGCTCCAATCTGGGCCTCTCAAACTTGCTCTCATGCATTCATCAACGTATTTCTCTCTCTCTCTTTCTTGCCAAATTTCTTGAATTATTATCTAATCAGTTGATTCTGGATGAAAATGTGTTAAATTTCGGAGTTTGGGTTATGGGGTTAGGTAGTTTACTGTGCTTATATTTGAAGTTTAGTGTTTTTCTCTATAAAATTTCAGAATTTTTATTCATTAAATGTGTTTCTTTCCCTTGCTAATTGTGCTTGAATACTCATCCAAAATTTTATTATTCAGAAAGAGGTGTTGAAGTTGTCATTCTTTGGGTTTAAAAGTTAGGATCTTTTAGTGTTTCTCTACTTTCAAGCAGTTGATTGATCAACATGTTATAATGTCCTCATTTTTGGCTTCTGTCATTAGGTAGTTTTGTATCTTATATTGAAGAGTGGTTTTCGACAATTATAATTCCCATTTCTCCTCATATCAAAATGGTGAGAGTATACATTTTTAATTTTTTGATCAAAGCTCACTTAGTTTGAATATTGGGATGCAGTTGGAGTGGACAGTTCATCACTTAGGTGCGTTCGGTACGGAGGAAAATACTTTCTAATATTTTCATGTTCAGTTTCTCTAGGAAAACAAGTTCCTTAAAAATGAGGAAAATGACTTCCCTAGTCACTTAATCTTTACCCCACCCCCGTAGCGCCCCATCCCCACCATCCCATCCCCCA